TTAGTAGATTTGGTATTTACTGGACGGTGGTTAGTAGATTTTCTTTATTTGCGAGATGGTGGTTAGTAGATTTGGTATTTACTGGACGGTGGTTAGTAGATTTTCTTTATTTGCGAGATGGTGGTTAGTAGATTTGGTATTTATTGGACGGTGGTCAGTAGATTTTCATTATTTCCGAGATGGTGGTTAGTAGATTTGGTATTTACTGGACGGTGGTTAGTAGATTTTCTTTATTTGAGAGATGGTGGTTAGTAGATTTGGCATTTATTGAACGGTGGTTAGTAGATTTTCTTTATTTGCGAGATGGTGGTTAGTAGATTTGGTATTTACTGGACGGTGGTTAGTAGATTTTCTTTATTTCCGAGATGGTGGTTAGTAGATTTGGTAGTTACTAAATCTACTAACTACCATCTCGTAAATAAACAAAATCTACTAACCACTAATTCCCCATTTTTCCCGCGCTATTTGAAAAATCCAAGAAGGCGAGACACGGTGGGGCCATAGAACCCCAGAGAACCCCCGTGGGTGGCAAACTGGGGTCATAGAACCCCCGGAAAATACGTAAGGGACACCGCGTGGTGTGTCAGATGTATGTACTATATCTGCCTGCATTCCCCATGCATATTAGTCACTTCACTCCTTCACGCCATACGCTTCACGTGTAGTTCACATTTGGACAACTCTTACGACGTTGTGCTGACAGCTTTCGTCTTGACCAAGTACTCGATTTGTAGCTGAAAGTACGTAGATTAATCCACTCTTATTGATAATAACAATAAACGGCCAGAACACTGTTAAAATCGAATTTAATCGCGGTGTACCACTATTTTTTGGACCGGTGGCGCCATCCGTGGCGAATCCCTGAAACTACTAGCCAATTATATGGCTAGCAGTTTCAGCATTCCGCCACGGATGGCGCCACCGGTCGAAAAATAATTGTACTCCGCAATTAAATGCGATTTTTACAGTATTCTGGTTATTTATTGTTATTTTCAATGACAGGAGATTAATCTACGTTCTTTTAGCTTCAAACTGAATGCTTGATCAAGACGTA